CACAGACACACACACACACACACGCCTTAGTTAGTCATTGCCATTGCCTTGAAGTGGAATCCCTACGGTTGATGATATAAATCCTGCACTACCTATAATAAGGAAAATACCATAATTCCCCTAGTTGAGGGTCCTTAAGGTAATGCAGCATTTATACATCATCAACAGTAGTTTGTACAAAACCTATCGAGGATCCTTTCAAGAGGGCTTTGGGGTGGGTTCAGACTCGAACAGGGGTACAGCGATGTTTAGTATGTCTTATAGGGGTTGAGGGTTTAGGGTTATGTCTTATAGGGTGTGGTGGTCCATTATCCTAGAATTGTAACGAGGAAGGTAAGGGGATGTCAGTACGAAAAAAATACTTGTCGTTAACTGTTCGATTTAGGCTTGTTGTCGCGCGTGTGTTCGGGGTTTGGGGTTTAGGACGTAGGTTGCAGGTGAAGAGGATGTGCCCTAACCCAGCAGGCCTACCAGGAGGCTGAAGCAGCTCGGCATGTGTGAAGCCCCTCCCTTGATTGAAAAGCATACCATTGAGGAGGGCTGAGGCTAAAACAACCTCTCAAAACCTTCACGCGAAGGTAAACCCTCAACCCCAATCCTTAATCCCCAAGACCCTTTAAATCCAAACGGTGACTGGGCTTCGCTGCTGGCGAGAATTGGGAGGGTGTGCTTGGTTCTCGGCTCTTGAATGATTCAAGGATCATGAAACTGACCGACTTAGTGTTAGTATCTAAGGATGTTGTTTGGAAGCACCTTGCTTGGAGTTACGAGGAACCTCGAATTCCAGATATCCCTAAACTTCCTAGAGAATGCAAGACTCCTTAATTGAGCATTCTATCCTAAACTTGTGATATCCTTTAGATGATTTAACGGAATTAGCGGATACTCGTTCAGTCTTGGGCGTCACTGGGTTTACAGGGTTGGGTCTGCGGCGTCACTGTCAGGAACGCTGAAGACCCTAGCGCTGCAGTCGTACATGTCTGAAAATGGACCATAACTCGACAACCACCGGCTGTTTTTCTCTTCCTGGCGAAGGGAGAGGCGGGTGTTCAGCTAGAGATGAAGGTAGGCGTCTGCAACAGTGGTTGTGTGTTGCGGGGGTCCCTGAGAGTGCTTTAGCCTCTGCGTCATTTGTGTCTGTCCATGCCTGCTCTAAATCAGGATTCCAAAATGCTGAAGCCATCATTAAACGAAGGTTCTTGTGCTGACCGTCCATCGGCCTTTCTTCTAATGTAGAAGTTTGCGCAATCAACCCGCATTATATTGAACTTTGCCAGTCGGGATTTGAATTCTAAGGCCCTTGTTGCAGATAGACCCTAAACCCTAAACCCTAAACCACGTTACACTACTCCCTCTAAGATCTGAGAGCGCTCTCAGCCGAAGAGGTTGCTGAAAATGCAGGCGCCGGTAATGCACCCACTCTCCTGGCACAGCTTGGAGTTTAGGGTTTAGGGTTTACGGGTTTAGAGGTTTAGGTGTTTAGGGTTTAGAGTTTAGGTTTGTTTGGGTTTAGGCTTGGGCATTATGTGCACACAGTACCGGAGTGACGGCTCAGTTTTAACAGTAGTTCATATTGCGGAAGTCGAGGTACCTGCACAGTAGATGTTCTTCCTTGAACCTGACAGTACCTACAGTACGAACCCTTTCACGCCAAAGCACCAAAGCAAAAATTCCATGCGCGCATGGACCCTGAGGGGGCCATTGCCGTCCTGGCTTCGTTGCTTCAAACCCACTGCCCTCTTATATCTTATAAAACCCTTATTATAGATCCATGAAGCAACCCATATAGAGCCCTTTTTAAAGCCCAAACTCCTTGTCGATGGCGAGAGACCGCATCTGGAATACGGGCTTCGTAGGCCTAACATCCGCTGCGCCGCCACGAGGAAAGACTCTGATCTGCTGATGTCCCGCGAAAGCTGCGAAGGCCTTCGGAGTCAGGGGCTGTAGGACTTAGAATGTAAACCCTGAACCCCCGAGAGGGTTTAGTATTTATATGGTGGCTTTATGGTTTCTGGCTTTACGGGATTTGAGTAGACCCCTGAGGGAGTGATCCTCATGGTTGAGCTCAAAGGTAGTTTCTGGTAAACCTTGGTTTCGGGCTGAGGGTTTAGGGTTCATACGGCTCAGGGCCTAGGGTTTAGGCGGTTTAGGGTTTAGGCTCACTTTAATTAACCCTAAACCCCTAAACCCAACCAAGAATTGCCAGGAGGCCGTCAGCATGGAGACCAGTGGGCGAGAGCTCGGGGAGCGACAGGCTGAAGCCCGAAGTCTTCGACCACTGCCTGAAGCATAGCCGGATGTGCTTTCCATCTTGCGATCGTCTCCGTCTAGCTCCAAGGCGCCATCTGGACTCCTTAGTGAACGGTTCAGGGTTTAGGGTGTAGATGGTCATGAACTAAGTAACTTCCCCTGAATGGTGCCCATGGCAACAGAACCGCCCGATGCTTTTATTATGGTAAAAAACCCAACACCCAAAAACAAGAACGCTCTTTCGGGCCCAAGCCGCCGACAGCTCATTATTGTAAGAATCAGAAACACAGTATACCACAAAAAAATATAATCGGCAGGTGAGCCAACTGACCAACCTCGGCCCCCCATGCTAAACCTCAAGCCCCAAACCCTACAGTGCTCAGCACCGCACACCCCCCAATCCAAAACCACAGAGAACCCTTCCAGAATAAAAAGCAAACAACAAAGAACCCTCATCTTGAAAAAGCCCTGAAGAAACTCCATAAAGCCTCCACGAATACCCCCAACACCCTAAACCCTAAACCCTAATCCCTAATAAACCGCCTAAGTCCTGAACCCTAATCCCTAAACCCCTAAATAATCCCCAAACCCAGCAAAGTCTCAACAGCCCTTCGCGGACCATGGCAGCTCGTACCCGTGTGGCGCTCCAGCCGAGGGACTCGAGCTCCTTTTTAGGGTTTAGGGTTTATAAGGGTTTATAGGGGTAGAAAAGGGTTTATAGGGGTTTTATAGGGGTTTATAGGGTTTTATAGGGGTTTTACAGGGGTTTATAGGGTTTTATAGGGGTTTATGGGGGTTTTTAGGGGTTTATATAGGAGTTTAGGGTTTAGGGTTTTGGTGTTTAGGGTTTTGGGTTACGGGTTCAGGGTTTAGGGGCTTAGGGGGTTCGGGAGTTTAGGGGTCTAGGGGTTTAGGGTTTAGGGTTGAGGGTTTTAGGGTTTGGGGGTTTAGGGTTTAAGGGTTTAGGGGTTTAGGGGTTTAATTAAGGGTTTAGGGGTTTACGGTTGAGGGTTTAGGGTTTAGGGGTTAGGGTGTGTGTACAGTGTGCGTGCGGTGGGTGCGCCCCTGACTTTTGGAGTAGGGGCGAACCCACCAACCGCGCGCTTGCATCAGCATGTAGTCCCGCCTCAACCAGCCCAACTGTTCTCAATTAGGGTTTAGGGTTCACCCCTAACCCCCCTCAACGGAGACTTTCTTGCTCTCTGCTTTCCTTGGCAGTTCGGCACACAAACGACTACATTTCACAGCGGACACAGCTGTGTCGGGTTGTGGCTCCTCGCGACCTGTGCCGGCCGCTCGACGATAAGCAAGGGGTTTCCAACAAACAACTTGCCCCTTGCACCCTGTAAGCCCTAATAAACCCTAAACCCTGTAAGGGCCGCTCGAAGTATCAAGTGCAAGACACCCTATTCCTGGCAGGGAACGTGAGCCCCCCTAAAACCGGCCAGAAGGCCTCTGCGGCGCCCGGAAACCTCTCTAGAGGCTTTTTGGAGCCAATTTCTGTCATTGTGAGCCGGAAGTTTTGCCGCCTAGGACCGTCGTTGAAATCTCCAAATGGGTGCTGTTTTTTGCCGGCAATTCGGCAGCTTTCGAGGACGGGCACTGGAGTTTCCGGGCCTCTGGAATCAGCCAGCCTGGCGCCCCAGACCCTCCCCTGGCCCAGATTTTGGAAGAGACCCTTTCTGAAAGCCCCTAAACCCATCGAAACCCCGAACCCTAAACCCTAAACCCTAAACCCTCAAGCCTAAACCCTAAACCCATAAGGCCCATAAGCCTGCAAGGCCCCCAGCTCCTGCGATCGCTGGGCCACTTGGTCTGGCTCCTGTTGCTGCTGACGGGTTCTTAGTAGGGAAGGGGGGCAGCGGTTACTGGGACTCCTATATGGCCCTAAACCCTAAACCCTAGGCCCTAAACCCTAAGGCGTAAACCCTAAACCCTAAACTCCTAAACCCTAAGCCCAAAACCCAAAACCTGATGGGGGACCTTAAGGGACTGTAGTCACAGCGATCCATTCCCCCCATTCCCTCCCCTACCCGGGGAGACCCTAAGGAGTCGTCTGTCGGAGGAGCTCTGCGCACCGGTCGGTTCGGGGTTCAAGGCTCAGCCTGCGGTTTCTGGGTTTAGGGGCTTTGGGGTTTAGGGTTTGGGGTTTAAGGTTCAGGGTTTAGGGTGTTGGGTTTAGGATTCTATCACTATCGAAACTATGGAGTCCAAGAAACCTGAGCTAAGGAATGATAGCTTAAGAATGCGGCCTCTAAGGGACACAGAAATATGATTCGTATTTACCAAAACCATCCGAGACTGCTGCATGCTGCGACCTTCTCTGCTGGTGTTTTCAATTGCTTCGAAATCCCGTCTTGGGGCGGAGCACTTCAAACGAGATTTCAGCCCCATGCAACAGTTGGCAAGCATGCATGTAGTGCAAACAAGTGTTGCAATACCAGGTCCCTTGTCATTCGTACCCTAGCAGCCCCATTGAGACCCCTAGGCCAAGCAAGTTAATATTTGTCGAAGTTCACAGCAGCGTTGAAACATCAATGGAATACACGTTGAAACGGCGAACAAAAACAATCCTACCATAATATAATAAGACCCTAAACCCTAAACCCTAAACATAGTACAATACACACCCAAACCCTTTCTGACTGATGCCACTCAACTAAACCCTAAACCCACAGAGTAGCCCCTTAAATGAGCCGTTGAAACCAATCCCAATTAGAAAAAAACAACACATAAGACTCATAGGGCCTGTCTGTGTCTATCTGTCTATCTGTCTGTCAATCTATCTACCTACCTATCTATCTATCTACCTATCTATGTATCTATTTATATAATGTTGTGTAGATCTGTATATATATATACACACATATACATATATGTGTATGTATGTATGTATGTATATGTACACCCACATGTATGTATGTATACATATATACCTATATGTATGTATGTATGTATGTATGTATGTATACATACATATCTATATGTATGTATGTATGTATGTATGTATGTATGTATGTATGTAGGTGACAGCGAGGTTTAGGGTTCAGGGGTGCTAGTTTTTCCTGCTTGTTTAGAGTTTAGGTTCAATTTTTAACATAGGGGGCCTTC